TGGGTCATGTTGTGGGTCATCTTGGTGTAGTGGACGGAAGTGTCTGTGTGTGTGTGTTATGGTGGTGGTCAAGGATGATGGCGAGTGGTATTAAGTCCCTAAGGATTAAATACTTCCCCTTGATGAAAAATATTAAAATTATCCTGTCTATTAACATTCTTTTCAGCTGTTTTCGAATCAGTGGACGAGGGGCACGACTATGATGTGGTATATCTTGACTTTAGCAAAGCCTTTGACAGAGTCCCCCACGAAAGACTAATAAGAAAAGTGGAGGCTCGTGGCATTAAAGGAGATATTCTAAAATGCACTTAATCCGATTGTGGTAACGTCACAAGTGGAGTTCCCCAAGGCTCAGTACTTGGACCATTATTATTTATTATATACATAAACGACATAGATATTGGCGTAGACAGCAACATAAGGAAATTTGCTTATGACACTAAAATAGGGCGTGTAATTAAATCTGGCGAGGACTCCGCAAAACTACAGGAAGATCTAAACAAATTTTTCGAATGGACTGAAAAATGGCAGATGAAATTCAATGTGGACAAATGTAAAGTACTCAGTCTAGGAGATGTAAACAGGGAAATCAGATACCAGATCAACAACGATGTTATTGAGAAATCCGACTGCGAGAAAGATTTAGGAGTAATGATAAGTAGGAATCTTAAGCCAAGTAAACAATGTGTATTTGCTCGAACCAAGACTAATAAAGTACTTGGGTTCATACAAAGGAGTGTTAGTTACAAGGCTAGCGAGGTCATCCTAAAACTATATCTTGCGCTTGTTAGACCTCACTTGGATTACGCAGTTCAATTCTGGTCACCGCATTACAGAATGGATAAAGAATCCTTGGAAAGAATTCAGAGGAGAATGACAAGACTAATCCCGGGCATTAGGAACCTTGAGTACAGAGACGTAGAGTGAGGGGCGATATGATAGAGGTGTATAAATGGAAGTCAGGGCTAAACAAAGGTGATATAACAAAGGTACTCAAAATATTCAACCAGGAGCAAACTCGTAACAATGGTTTTAAATTATACAAATTTAGATTTAGGCGCGAGATAGGTAAACTTTGGTTTGGAAATAGAGTAGTGGACGAGTGGAACAAGTTACCAAACATCATCATTAACTCTAACACGCTGGATAGCTTCAAACACAGGTTGGGTGGATATATGAGTGATAGGGGTTGGGTGTAAACGGGACTGTCCAGTATGGTCCGCTGCAGTGTCCTCCATTCTTATGTACTGTTACATTTTCGTAGTTACTTATTCTTAGGTGATGAAACATTAATAATTGTGTGTGAAGATTATTCTTTTAATAAATATTACTTTACTCACCATAAACTAGCTGTATCTACCTGAACCACCAGCCACATTATATAGAATTTATCAATCAATTTGCGGGCCGCACAAACACTTGGTTCTGGTCGCGGGCTGCCCATGCCTACTTTACGTTCATCAACAACAAACAAACGATACTTTACGTTCATCAACAACAACAACAAACAAACGATACTTACCGACAACAACAAACCTCTCCGCCATGTTGTCTTCTTCCCAAAACATGATAACGTTTTACTTTTTTTACTCTCCTCTCGCCTACACTGTGTCCAGCTTTATCAGCCATTTAATTAACTTCGCCGCCGCTGGAAGCAATCATTCCCTCACACCGGTTTAGTTTTACTTGTCTGTCTGTGTCTGTCTGTCTGTGTCTGTCTGTCTGTCTGTGTCTGTGTTATATTTTCATGTTACGTTTATATATTGTGTTTGTGTCGGTACTTGTGTGTGTGTGTGTGTACTGTGTGTGTGTGTACAGAGTGACAACAGGAATAGTATAATCTCGTTGATAATTGCAAAGATTATATTATGATTGGCTAAACGTGTACCAGATGATCCTATCCCGGTGATTGGTCAAGCGTGTATTAATACGTCACACACATTGGTTTCTAATTGGTCAGAGGTAAAAATTGCCACGTAGTCATATGTTTATACCCATTGATGATTGGCTAAAAATTTTCGTACATCACTGTTTCGTCACAGATACGCGGGTACACGGGGCTGTGATTGGTCGGTGTCGTAAGAGGTAGAGGATTGCCATATCAACGTCAGTGGACCTTTAAATATTAGTGTTTCCTCTCGGACGTCATCACCCAGGAGGCTTTACGCCACTAGAAAATGAATTATGGTGTTAGCTCAGGCGTAATGGCGTTAAGCGACGACTGATGAGGGATGTGAGGGAGGTGGGATGTGTTAGGATGCATTGCGATATGTTGGGATAGACTGAGATGAATTGGTATGGACTAGGGTGTGTTGGTATGGACTAGGGTGTGTTGGTATGGACTAGGGTGTGTTGGTATGGACTAGGGTGTGTTGGGATGGACTGTTAGGAGTTGGGATGTGTTGGCCTGGACGGTACGACAGACAGAGAGGAGAAATGACAGAAAGACACAACCAGACGAGACGGGTGCACTAACTCAGTCAGTCAGTCAGTTAAAAATCTTGTCTAGATCCCTTTAAACCACCTACACCACCCCTAACACCTCTTAAACCACTTCACTACCCCCACCATCCATTAAACCACCCCCCCATCCCCCACTTAAACCACCCCATCCACCACTTAAACCACCCTCCATCCCCCATAAACCACCATCCCCCCTTAAACCACCCCCATCATCCCATCCCACACCCCCCACAAGATTAGGACAGCCCGTGAAAATATTGCTAATGAAACCCGTGGAGAGATCCGGATTCAGCTGCCCGAACGCCCGTAAAAACGTCAATAATGCCAGGCTTGTGGGAGACTGCCGCTGTCCCCGGGAACTTTACTGCCGAGGCGCGGTGGTTATTGGTCGGTGTGATGTATGGCGTGTCCAGAGCTGACGTCCGTGTGGTATTTATGCATACTACAAAATATACATGTATGCTACATGCTTGTTACGTACTTGTATATATGTGGACACGTATATGGATGACTGGGATGGAGGGCTGAGGGCTGGAGAATATGGGCTGAGGGCTGGAGAATTAAGGGCTGAGGGCTAAGAGAAAGATCATGAAGGGTTGAGGCCTAATGAAATAAATATTGGGGGCTAGGTGAAGGGCTGGAAAGGACTAAGGGTTAAGTAAGTAAGGCTCATTAAGGGTTGACCAATGGTTGGGGAGGGCCAGGGGTATAAGGGGTGATGACTGGTGTTTACTCTCTCTCTCTCTCTCTCTCTCTCACCTGGGGTTCAGCAGGTCGTGTGTCGTGGACTGATACTGTCGTGGCAAGACTACACGACATCCGGGGGATTACCTTGTAGGTCTTATGTTTTGTTCGACTCTACGACACGTGAAGAGACATCGATGATCAGCTCTGTGTGTGTGTGTGTGTGTGTCTCACGTCTACACAACATAAATTTAAAACACGTTAATATATATATATATATATATATATATATATATATATATATATATATATATATATATATATATATATATATATATATATATATATATATATATATATATATGTCTTGAATAAAGACGAAAGCTAAGGTACTCCGTTGTTTCCCTTTTCCCGTGTGATTTTATCAAGATTTATCTTATCCACGTTTTCATTGTGGATTTACATGAAATATATATATATATATATATATATATATATATATATATATATATATATATATATATATATATATATATATATATATATATATATATATATTTAAATTTTATTTTCTAATTTGCATTTTTTACCTGACCCGGAAGTTTCAGGTTCGTCAGGTCAGCTCAGGTCAACTCCTCACTTCCGGAGACTCCAGGGTTGAGGCGTGAGTCTGGTAGCACTGCGCCACACTAGGCATATGTGCCGCAGTTGGCAATAATGTATGGGTATTAATAGTCTGTCACACGTAAATTACGGGATCAGCTGTTGGCAATATTGGTAATGGGTGTTTTTTTGGTGTGTGTGTGTGTGTGTGTGTGTGTGTGTGTGTTGTGTGTGTGTGTGTTGTGTGTGTTGTGTTGTGTTGTGTTGTGTTGTGTTGTGTTGTGTTGTGTTGTGTGTGTGTGTGTGTGTGTGTGTGTGTGTGTGTGTGTGTGTGTGTGTGTGTGTGTGTGTGTGTGTGTGTGTGTGTGTGTGTGTGTGTGTGTTGTGTTGTGTTGTGTGTACCTTCCGCCGACCAAAACAATGCAGTAAATAGTGAGATAAATTTAGTCTTTTGATTTTGTAAGTTGCCGCCGCCAGGGTGTTGCAGAGACTCAAGCAACTCAAACAACTCAAACAAGAATCTTAGCTATACTGTTTTAGTGTTTGTGTTGCAGAGACATTGCAGTGGCAGGACTCAGCTGTTGCAACACTTAATGCCAGATGTATTTGGCTTGCTGAGGACGATGGTTTGAACCCTTTGGGGACGATGGTTTGAACCCTTTGGGGGACGATAGTTTGAACCCTTTGGGGGACGATGGTTTGAACCCTTTGGGGGACGATGGTTTGAACCCTTTGGGGGACGATGGTTTGAACCCTTTGGGGGACGATGGTTTGAACCCTTTGGGGGACGATGGTTTGAACCCTTTGAGGACGATGGTTTGAACCCTTTGAGGACGATGGTTTGAACCCTTTGGGGACGATGGTTTGAACCCTTTGGGGGACGATGGTTTGAACCCTTTGGGGACGAAAGCTTTAACCCTTTGAGGACGGCGGTTTGAAGTTTGAACCCCTTGAACGTTTGACTCTTCAAGGACAATGGTTAATGCTTTTGATGACCATGACTTAAGCAGCTCACATACTTCACAAGACACACACACGCCACACACACACACACACACACACACACGCCACACACACACGGAAACACACACACACACACACACACGGAAACACAGTTACCTTCTGGGATGGTGAGTCGGTGAGGAACATGTCTGGTCGGTTATATCAGCGTGTTATCAGCGTGTTATCAGTACGAGGTGCCCCTGCTAGATGCCCTGAGAATGACAGTTCTTCTTTATTGTTAACAGAGATAAGCGGTGCTGGGTGGTAGCGTCAAGGGTCAGTCGCTGCTGGTGGCAGGTGAAGGAGGGAGGTGTGGCCACGCCCGCGGCTCCGTGTTCTACTGCCTCAAAATTTATCACATGTGACTGTTGAGTCGTAGGAGCTGGGTTGTGTGTGGTGGCCAACTCCGTCGTGAAGACCAGCTCTGAGTGTTGGGAGTGCACGGGGTGTCGTGTCCGCTCCTCACGCCAACGTTCGTGTTTTGTATGTGATCTGAATTGTTCAAACGAGACTGTTACGAGTGTGAGTGTTCGTGGGTGTCATCTCTGGTTGTCTTACGAGACACGAGACGAGCCTCAGTGTTGGATCACCAGACGTACGGCGTCAGGATCATGAGGGACACGTGTAGGAGAGGTATTGGCAGCCACTGAAGGGTAGTCTAGATTCTGTCATTATCAGCATGGCTAATTACAAGACCAAGAGACGCCCGTTGTCCTGTGAGGTGCACCTGAGTGTTATTCAGGAGGAGGAGCTGGAGAGTCTCAGGAAGAGGCGCGAGTGGATGGAATCTGAGAAACACAAAGGCAGACGAAGCAAAAGTGAGAGTGATGGGGATATATGCGACAGAGGCGACGGCGACAGTAATGATGTCCTGGAAGACGAGGTCATGGCGGGACCTCAACAACTCCCCAACAACGACGATATCAGCCCCAACGACGTCTTCAGCATCGTCGACGACGGTGACGACGGCGCCCCGGGCGGTAGAAATGACGACGAGACCGACAACCTTAGATCATTCTACACACACCTGGACGAGAGGTGGCTGACCAGTAGCCTCGGGGCCCTCTCCATAGACCGCCACAACTCTCTCACTCTCTCCTACAGACAATTACCTTTCGACGAGGATTTGAGCCTGGCGCCGGGTGAAGGGCCCAGGAGCGTCCTCCGCAAGACTAACAGCTTGGATTACATCAAGCCCAAGGGAAACAGCTACATTCGACGAGCCATGCCCTTCCTCTCTCGCATGACGTCAAACCTAAAGCGAGCTGTGTCGGAGAAGGACCTCTTAAAACTGACCGACTTCTCCGTCGCGACCTCGATATCACCCAGCCCGCGCTCTTCACCCACCCCTCATTCACCCACCGCCCACTCACCCACCGCCCGCTCACCCACAGGTCGCCGTGAGTCAGCGGTAAGCCAAGAGGTGTACAAATTAGGAGTGTTTGATAAGTCACGTTGTTGTTGTTATCATTATAGTAAACACTTGAGTGAGGTCCCCCATCCACTCACTGTCCGCAACCTTCATATTTTGATCATAACCCAAATACAACAGTCAGGAAATACATCAATACTTTCCCAATATTTTATCACATCACATAATTATAGAATAAGATTATTATAATTTAACATTACCTTCAGTGTTGTTCAGGATTCCCCACGTGATAAAATAACATAATAATGAAATGCGAAAACAATGTTGGTGTTTGAACGAGTATCAGAGCTGTAGTTGTGCCCGACTTAGCTAGGACGGTGTTGTTTATTTCAAGCACTGGGGACACCTGGAGTTATATATATGTGTGTACTAGATCTCACGTTATTCATGTCCTCGTTAAATTATTTTTCTCACCAAATTTATCAAACATTCAGAATTTGTGATGTAAGTTTCTGGAGACAGATAGACAGACCTGTGACTATGACCGGGCAATGCTGCTCCATCTTCTTCCTCACTGAGAAACATTCACATACTAGTGAAGAAGAAACAGTGCCAACCCTCCCATTAATTCCAGGTGAAGTACAGTTAGACTTGAGTTTGTGTATTTAGATCTAGACAGGTAACACGGGCTAATTGGGGATCAGGGTGGGTAGTCTAGTTAATTAGTTATCCTTGATCACCTGAGCTATCACACCTGGAGATTAATCGCACTAACGCTACCTAGAGGGGTTAGATTAGGTTAGGTTTGGTTAGGTTAGGTTAGATCTAGCCGTCCGTCCGTCCCAGTATCGCCACCGTGGGCAGTGGATAGATGTGAAGCCAACTTGTTGCACAGGTTAGGTCATGACTTAAGGAATGTGTCTATTGATTCTCAGGTCAGGAGGTCAGAGGTCAAGTTCAGTGTTGCTTGGCTTTAGTTCTCAACGAGGATTAGGTAACTGCACCTCCCCCTCCCCCCTCTCCTACCCCCATCTCCCTACCCCACCCTCCCCTACCCCCCTCCTCCCCCACCCTCCCTATCTCTCCCTACTCCCTTCCTCTACACCCTCCCCATCCCCCTTCCTTCCCCCAGCACATCCTGACGCTGTGCTGTAATATTAGTAACTACTGTATAAGACTGGTACTCCCATCGTTGGCACTTCCTTCTCTAGCACTCCACCATGACACTCTCCTGTCACTTCCCCCACCCACTACCCCCCCTCCCAGCCTTCCCCCCTCCCTTCCTACTAACTCCCCCTGGCACTACCCTCCTCCCCCTCCGGCTACCCCTGCCCTACCCCGGTTCACACCCCCCCCCTCCCCAAACCACCCTGTAAGCTGTGATTTGTGTGCAGAGGCCGACCTCAAGTGACGCGGCCCAGTACTGCATTTAAGGGCGCCTCCTGGTCACCTCCTCCTCCACCTCCAGGGTTGTGGGAGGCACAGATGATCATAAGTATTTTTCAGAATTTCAACCCTCTTCCTTCCTTCCTTCCCTTCCTTCCTTCTCATCCTCCTCCTTCTCCCTCCCCTTCCTTCCTTCTCCCCTCCTCCCTTCCTTCTCCCCCTCCTTCCTTCTCTCCTCCCTCCCTTCCTTCTCCCCTCCCCTCCTCCTCCCTTCCTTCTCCCCCCCCTCCCTCCCTTCCTCCTCCCCTCCCCTCCCTCCTCTCCCCTCCTCTCCCTCCTTCCTTCTCCCCCTCCTTCCTTCTCCCCCCCTCTCTTCCCCCCCCCCTTCCCCCTCCCTCCCCTCCTTCCTTCTCCCCCCTCCCTCCTCCCTCTTCCTTCTCCCCCTCCCCCCTCCTTCCCCTCCCTCCCTCCCCCCCCCTCCCCCCCCCTTCATCCTCCTCCCTCCCTCCTCTTCCCTCCCTTCCCTTCCTCATCCCTCCCCTTCTCCCTCCTTCCTTCTCTCCCTCCCCCTCCCTCCCTTCTCTCTCCCTCCCTCCTTCTTCTCCCCCCCTCCTTCCTTCTCTCTCCCTCCCAGGCAAATCTACTCTCATTTGTCAGGCCGCCAATCCTCTCGCCTGTTTATGTCTAATAACACTCACTTAGTGGTGGCCTCTCTCTCTCTCTCTCTCTCTCTCTCTCTCGTGTATAATTGAGTGAGTGAGAGAGAGAGAGAGAAGAGAGAGAGAGAGAGAGAGAGAGAGAGAGAGAGAGTACAGGTAACAGCAACAGGTGAACGTCTGATAAGAACACTCCCCAATGTGTGTTCCTGTCTGCTACTAGTTTCATACTTCAGGGCCACCTCCCTCCCCTCCCTCCTCCCTCCTTCCCCTCCCTCCTCCCTACCTCCTTCCCCCCCACCTCCCTCCCCCTCCTTTCCTACCCCTCCCCCCCCTCCCTCCCCTACCCCCACCTCCCTCCCTCCCTTCTTCCCTCCCCCCTCCTTCCCTACCTCCCTCCTTCCTTCCATCCTTCTCCTCCCTCCACCCTCCATATTCCCCCTTTTTCCTCTTTCCACCCTCCTCCTCCTCATCCACCTCCTCCTCCTCCTCCTCCTTCCTGTTGACCTGACCTGGATGATAGACATCATCTTGCGGGTCATTTAACTCTCTTGTTTAAGGTCGAGTCCGAATTCTAGTACTATTTCTAACTCCTGCTTGAGGACCATCTTTCTCCCCTCATAGCCTACTCCCCCGCCCGCCCCCAAACAACAACAACAACAAAATAATGAAAAGTAAATAAATAAATAAATTAACTCCCTCAAAATAAGATTAGCCATTAAAAACCGTCTAGTCAACTTCATCCAACTCTAACATTGGCAATAAACAGATAACAACATAACAAGTTATAACAACACACTATCTTCTCTCGATATCCCCGTAGATATCTTCTGCTGGTGAAGGCTTAACCTGATATCACAGTCCCTTTTTTTATTCTGTGATAACATAAACCTCTTTAAGTACGATAATATAAACCCCTTTGAGTACGATAACTTAATCCCTTTAAGTATGATAACTTAACTGCTTGACTACGATGACTTAACCCTGTAATGAGGGAACTCTCATATAAAGATATAGGTAGAATTTACAGTAATAGGATGGATACAGTGAGGTAGTGTGGCCGAGTAGTTTAATGTGTTCTTACGGGAAATATTCTAAACACCGATTCTAAGTACAGCTAACTGAATGACATGTACACGTTAATAGATCATTATATTGCCGGTACTAGATAATGACTCGGACACAAACATGAAATGGATTCACTTCCCACTGTAAGTAACTCACCCTATGGATCGTCCTGACAAAGATTAATGTGGGACCTGAGGGAGGCCCAACAGCTGGGGCGAGTGGTCCCGGCGGGCGCTGCCAGCTGGGGCGAGTGGTCCCGGCGGGCGCTGCCAGCTGGGGACTCGGTGCTGGGAAGGGAAGTCCCCCTCCCGACCTTGACTTGTGACGAGTGTGACTCCGTCTGCCTCTGGGTTCTGTCTCACCCCCGGATGATGATGATGAGATGGACAGAAGAGAGCCATTTGCTCTGAAGATGGAAGACGGTGTTGGAGGAAGATAAAGTGGGAGATTTGATAGCAGGCGAGCTATCCACCTTGCAGGGACGGGGGTTATGTTTGCCACGAGAGCATTTCCCTTTGGAGCTGTCGGCCCCTTACATTGGAGGTGTCAGGCCGGCAGGTGTCTCCTCCAAATTATCACTAATATGGGTGTGTTTGGCCAGGTGTCACGTGTACTGGCTTGAATTAACAGGATCATGTCGCCTTGCCCCTCATCATAGTGTGGCTAGAACTCCTTTTCCCTTAATGACCGTGACCTTTGTTGGGTCAGGTCTTAATCTCACCTCAATTACTGTAGGGTGGGTCACCTTACGTGCTGTATGCTTTGG